GTGTTCCGCTGAAAAAAAACAGACAAAAGAGAAATCTCATGTCAAGATGGGAAAGGTCAAAATTGAAAGTGAGACATCAGAGAAGAAATCAACTTTACCGCCCTTCGATGATATTGTGGACCCCAACGACTCAGACATGGAGGAGAATATGTCCTCTAAATTGGATTCTGAACAGCCCAGTCCTGCCAGTTCCAGTTCCAGTTCCAGTTCCAGCTCCAGCTCCAGCTCCAGCTCCAGCTTCACACCGGCTCAGACCAGGCAACAAGGTCCTTTGAGGTCTATAATGAAAGATCTACATTCTGATGACAATGAGGAGGAATCTGATGAGGCGGAGGATAATGGCAATGACTCTGAAATGGACAGACCTGTAAATAGAGGAGGAAGTCGAAGTCGCAGAGTTAGCTTAAGTGATGGCAGTGACAGTGAGAGCAGCTCTGCGTCTTCACCTCCCCATCACGAACCTCCGCCGCCCTCATTAAAAACCAACAGCAACCAGATTCTTGAAGTGAAAAGTCCAATAAAGCAGAGCAAATCAGATAAGCAGATAAAGAATGGCGAGTGTGACAAGGCATACCTGGATGAACTGGTGGAGCTTCACAGAAGGTTAATGACACTGAGAGAAAGACACATCCTGCAACAGATTGTGAATCTTATAGAAGAAACTGGACACTTTCATATCACAAACACAACATTTGATTTTGACCTTTGCTCATTGGACAAAACCACAGTCCGTAAACTACAGAGTTACCTGGAAACTTCTGGAACATCCTGAGGATACGACTGGATGCATCAAAAACTATTGAGTTGATTTTTTTTTATTTTGTTTTTTGGTTGTGATTTTGTTTTTGTTTTGTTTATATGAAAATACAGAATGATGCAACCAAAAGGGGAAAAAGTAAAAAACAACCTTCAGCTTTATTTTTCTTTAACGCCAGTCATCATCTCTTGATAAAGAAGAGGTTAAACAAACCAGCCTCAGAGGACCACTCTTCTCTCCAAGGAAATCCCCAGGAGGAATTAGCCTGGATAGCCTTGAAAACCACCCAGTCAAACACAAAACAAGAACACTCAAAGAATGTGTATGGTATCCTGTCTCTGGTGGTTCATTCCACAAGACGAATGCATATTCAACACACTGCCTTATTACATAACTGATCTATTTATTATCGCATATGGATGTTCTGAAGTGGAGGGAATGACACCACTCTGTCCCGTGGATGGTCTTTCAATGCAACGTCCTTGCCATCCCAAACCCAGTGACCTTACTCTTAATTCCTTCCGTGCCACTTTCCACCAATTTTTTTCAAGTCCTCTAACTTGTTGCAGTCTGTATTTTTCCAATGTTTGTTGTTTTTGTTTTGTTTTCTAGTTCCAGGACACAAATTATGAACTGGAGGGGAAGGGGAGGGACCAAATAACCACCCTGATTTCCTTCCTTGTGGTCTCTTTCCTGAAGGTTGGGGCCAGTCCTTGGCTGTATCCATGTAATGATCTTGGACCATGGTAGAAAATGCACCAAATAGGATCATGAATTGCTGTCTAGCCTCAGTCAATAAACCTGTAGGACTTTTAAACAAAAGTGTGCCGTAAGAGTCCTGAATCCAGCATCCTTGATCTGTTACCATCATTCTTGTGTCTGTTTTACTGTTAGGTAAACATGGAGGTAAAGGCATTCCACAGGATCATTTTAAAAAAGGAATACTGGTCCTGTTTTCTAAAGAAATGTAGAAATTCTTCACTTGGACCTATTTATTAGAGTTCCGCCCTTCTCCCAACTGCCAGCGTGGTGTTCATCTTTATCATGAAACATGAAATAAGAGATGTTTATTTGTTCCCATATGATTCCCTTAGCCTCTTTTATATTTGAAAAATTAAAAGCTTTCTTTGGGGGAATTAACATGTAGATTCAGTGGTTCGATACCTGTTTAGTCCTTGCTTATGTTTCCAGAAGGATTTATTGTATTGATGAAAATAAAGATGGTTTTTTGGGGGAAGGGTATTTTGTTCATGATGTACCCTTGTTTTGAAACTAGAAAACTGTCCTGTGGCATGCAAAAGAAAGCAAATTATTTTTAAAAGAAAGAAAGAAAAAGTTAGTTAGAAAGAAAAAGGATAGTTCTGTCATATTACCTACATGACCCATTTATTGCATGCATAGAATACAAAGCATGGTTTGTCTTTCTGGATATATAACAACTAAATTACAACAAAAGCTTCATTTACTTGTGCTAATCTTATCTTCAGAAGTGTAGTATTACAAAGATCTGTTTTGTTCCTGTTCTTACTCTACATAATTGGCATGTACCTAAATGTAATAATAAAAGAAGATCTTGGTGTCAGGTAACAGACAGACCTGTATACAGTAGATGTTGTGTACCATCGAGTCAGGACCAATTCATAGCTGACCTTGCAGAGGGTTTTCAGAGGCAGTAAATCAACATGGGAGTTGATTATCCAGCCTTCTATTTAAGAGCAGCTGGCAGATTCTTTATCAAGTCAGTTTTAAAAGATACATAAATAAGCAGATTGTTAGATATTTCTTCCACTGGACCTCAGTTTATAGCTGAGTGCACTATCCATTTGTACCACACATATACTCTTTCAGAGGTGGTTGTTTTCAGCTCTCATAAGGTTGATCCCACCTCATTATGATATCATGCACAATAGGATTATATCATTGCTTTCGTTAGTATTCACATGGACTGATCTTCAGAAAAATGTTATTAATGTAATAGAAATTAGTTTATGATTTTGTGGCTGCGAGTAAAAAGTATGAGAGAAGTAAAAAGTGGGTGAGAGAAATGCAGAATATGAGTAATGTTTTGACTTTTCAACCAGCTTTGAATGGAGGTAAATGTGAGTAAAAAACCTGAAGTGATGATATACTATGGAAGAAACATGGAAAAATGAGGGGTAGGGAGGAATGGAATAAGGCAGACCAAAATGAGTTTTTTTATTGTGGGTTTTTTTTTTTGGTTGGTTTTAAAATTTTTTTTTAGTTTTTTATTGTTTCTTGTTTTGGTTTTTGTTTTCCTGGGTTTGTCACTCTAGTCATCTTCATTTCCAATGGGCCTCAGGAGACCCTTTCCTGACGTGGACCAAAAGGGCTCTCGGGATAGGAAGAACTTCCTGGGACTGGGACATCCTAATCCATTTTAATTGACAAATAGTATTTGTTGGGGTGGGGTAGTTCAACTATGTGTCTTGGCTCTGGTCCCCAAATATATAAAGAAAATTATCAAACACATCTTTATATGTTAGAGCCAAGAAGAGACCTTGGGTTAAAAATCTATTTTGTAGATGAATGAAGTGATTTACTCAAAGTAACATGTGGCCATTTCGGACACTGCCAAGTTCACTGATTGATTCCATTACTGTGGGTGGAGTAGTAGTAGTCTTGGTTGATGTGACTGGATGCAAATACTTGCAAAAATTGCGTTTGATTTGAGTATTAAAACTGAAAAAAGCCATTGCTGTTGCACTGAAACCAACTCCTCGCTGACCCTCTTTTGGGTTTTTGGGGGCTGCAGAACATGCAGAAGAAGCACACACCTCTTTCTTCAGAAGAGCCTTGATGGGTTCCAAAGGCCGGAAGGCACCACCTCGGGGTTAGCTGCACAGCTCTCTATAAACTAAGCCATGAGCACCTTATGTAAATGTTGTGTTGGTATACCATCGAGTCGGAACCTACCCATACCTGACCTTCCAGTGGATTTTCAGAGGCTCTAATTGCATGGGAGAAGACTGGCCATCATTCTTCCATGGAGCAGCTGGTTCGAACCGCATGCCTTTGGGATTGCAGCACAGAGACCTTCTTTAACTGGCCCTTGTCTAGAGTATAAGATAACTTTTCAGCCATAGGTTTGTTGTGTTTTTTTGTGTGTGTGTTTTTTATGTTTTTAAATTTGTTAACTTCTTTAGTTATATAGGAGTAGCACTTGCCTCATAGGATAAAATGTGTTACAATTTACAGTGTTCTTTGCTGTTTATTGTAGAATAGACTCTGGTTTATGGCAGCCCATATACAGTAGAATGATGCATTACCTGGTTCTATCTTTGGCATACTGAAATCCTTTGTCAGATCCTTCTTCCTTGTCAGTCGTAGCCTGAAGTCCTGACAACCTGTTCACCAGTGGTGACCTTGTTTGAAATATTAGTGTCCTTTCCACCATCGCAGCAAGATGGAAACTATCACAGTACAGCACACTGGTGGATGGTGGTAATGGAGCTTAACAGTAGCTATGCATTACTAATCAGTTCTTTCCCCTGTACTTTTGCTCATTAGTTTTATTTTTGTTATTTGTATGGCTATGTCAGCTCTCACAAGGTTGGTAGAATATGCTTAAGAACACATACTTAAATGTAAACGGACTTGGCTATAAACTAACCTACAGCACTTCCTAGCTAAGTGACCTTATACATATTCTACTCATACACATTGTCGTTGAATAGGAACTGACTCATTGCTGATCCTCCTGTGGTTTTCCAAGGCTGTTGAGGCACGTGTTTGATATCCACCAGTTGCTCTGAGGAAGAAAGATGCTCAGTCTCTTCCTGTGTGATTTACAGCTTCTCAATCTGCTGGAGGGTTAATTATAAGTTGATTTCTGCCTCAAAAGGTACATAAGAACAACAACAAATCACAGGGAGGAAATTGCCATCTTTCTTCCTCTGAGCTGCAAGTAGATTCAAGCTACCAGTGAAGTTCGTGCAGGACTGGGCAATGTTTTATTCTTTTGCACGTCAGACCTTTTGGGTGAGCAGTGCAACTCTCAATAGGCTATGCTGCCAGAACGTGACTTCAGGCAGGTCCAGTAATCTCTCTGAACATCAGGTTCCTCATCTGAAACATGCAGATGCTGGTAGTTACTTCATGTAATGGTTGTAAGAGATGAGAGATAGTATATTTGATGTACTTGGTTTCTACCACACAAATGTTCACTGCTGTTAGGGCTGTGATTATTGGGTAACAACTACTGTGCTTTTCATTTATATCCTTACTGGAGCTAGCTGTTGGGAGTTGAAAAAGCCAGCATTTACTGATCACTTATTTGATGTGAAAAGCCCTCATTGCCACATTTTAGTGCATTATACTAAATATAACTTAGTGCTGAGATTAGTGCTAGTGGTAAGGATGAAAAGGTTGCATAGAATTAAGTTCTTTTCTGATTGATTTGATCTTCAGTTAAGGGAAGTCCCAGTCAGGGGGTGATGGAAAGAGCAGTTGAGTCACATGAGCACATGAGTCAGTTTGTCTGGGTTCTGACGCAGAAATCCAGTACATGCCCCAGGCAACTTACACAACTCAAAACTCATTGCTGCCGAGTTTCTAACAGCTGACCATCCAGCAAACTTCCGAGGCTGTAAATGGCACTGGAGGAGCCTGCTTATTTTTCTCCAATAGAATAAGTAGTTAGACCGGCAGAGGGGCAGAGCATTTGGGTTAGCAAATCAACTCCCTGTGGACTGCAGGAATTCAGTCTATTTACTGCTTTCTTCCCCTAAAGAAGCGGAATTTTGAAACTTTCAGAGAATTGAATTTTTACCTCTGGGGGCCTCTACGGATATGAAATAACTTGATACTTCTGGCTAATCACAATATGGTTCAAAGTAGATTGTTACTGTGATTGAGTTGTGTGCTTCCAAAATAAGTGATGTAAATGCCTGGTGATAAAAGAGAATTATACGTTGGTGGCCAGCTAAAAGGTGTTAATGGATATTGTTGCTGCGGTCATTGAATAAAGACGAATTTTTCCCAAAGGTGAGCAGTGCGAATCCACCAACCACTCTGGAAGAAAGATGGCTGGTGTACCCTTACTAATATTTACAGCCTCAGAAACTGATGGAGGGACACGAGGAGTTAGAATTGACTCCGTGCCAGTGGGTTTGGTTTTTGGTTTTACACTTGTATGTGAAAGTGAATTTTGCTGTATTAATGAAGCAGTATTATTCTAGGGCATGTTTTAAATCAGTGTCTTTTGAGATATAAAACACATTAGACAAGTAAACAAGCAGAGGTGGTAGGAGAAGAGAGGCCATGCTCCTGGGAAAGTTTTCTGTCTCAGATGTCTTTTCAGTATAGGCTCCTCTCTGCTTAGCCTTCTGTGAAATTTACTGTTATTTACATAATAACAACTGTTAAGGAAAGGGTGACAGCCTCTAAGGAGTTGTACAGAGAGTCAAACTAGGACACTGATGAGGAAGATGGAATTCAGGAATCCCCTGGGTAGGAAAACTATTATGACTATTACCAAGTAATAGTGTGAGGGTGGTGTGGGGAGGGCTTCAATGTCATTTACTATGACTAAAAAAATATTAATGAAAATTAGTGTTCCTAAACAGTAAATTATAGCGGTTATTGGGTTTTGTGGTGTTCACAACCAATTCTGCTTGTATTACCAGAATTTCTTACACAGATTTCCCTTTCAATCCCATAGTGTTCCTATGAAATCTTTTGTAAGCTGGCTTAGTGTAAAGCAAAAACTCAATTACAAAAAAAAAAAAACAACCAAAAAACCCAAAAACAAAAAACTCAATTACCATTTATTTAAATGGGAAAAAACTCTAGTGTTCTAGAATAACCAACAAATCATACAAGCAACAAAAAAGCCTAAGATAACACACATGCTTAGCTGTGCACCGATAAAGTTCGAGACTCTGGCA